CGACGCCGGCATCACCGCGCCAATCTTCCCGGGCGGCCATGCTGCTCAGTACCTCCTCCCCCGAGACCACCCGAGACCACCCGAGCTTGTTCGAGAGTAGGCATCATGCCGCTCAACGCGTGCGGCGGGTGCGTCGCCTTCCCACCTCCTCCTTCCCACGGCCGCCTCCTCCGCCCACGACTTCCCCCCCCTACCCCCCTCTCCTCCTTCCCGCCTCGCTCTATCCCCTCTGCTTCGGCGTCCCCCCCCCCCCCACGGCTCCGCCAGCCCTGGCTCGCCCTCGTCTTCTCCTCCTCATCTCACTCCCGCTCCCCGCCCGCCACCCAGCTTCAAGCGCATGACGGGCTTCTGCAAGACACGCATCCCGCCCGCGATGGCGAAGCGGGTGGCGGAGCTGAGCGGGGACGACAAAAAGGCGGAGTTTGCCGAGTACGGCATCGACTACCTCACCGACCTGTGCAAGCAGCTCGTCGCGTCCAAGCTCGTGCCCGGCCTCCACTTTTACGCGCTCAACCAGTCGGAGCGCACCTTCCAGATTCTCAAGCGGCTCGGATACTACGCGCCGACCGACTAGCCGCCCGCGCCGTGGCGCGCGCGCATCATCTGTCATCTCGCCCCCCCTTCGCTGTCCCTGAAGTATAGCCCCGATGAGGGCGGGGCGCCTTGAGGCACGCGCCGCCCGCCTGTAGCGACTAGCGTGTCGATATTGGCAACCGACATGGACAGCCGCCTTGCTCCCAGGGGTGGGCTTGAGCGGGCCGGCCCGTTGTAGCGGCTGGCGTCAGCGCATTTATTGAGAAATTGGGCATTTTGGACTATATGGTTATGGACGGGATCGCCGACGTCGCGCTCCCACAGTGGTCAGTCCGCGCGCCAAGCGCGCAAGACATAATAAATATAATTATTATCAGTAACCAGCCTCCGGCGGGGCCCCCCGCTACCATCCAAACCCCCGAGTACCGGTCTACTATCACAGGTAGAGGCTCAAGTGTGACATATAAGTCCACACCCATACACATGCACAAAGCAACTCTCACGGCACACGGGCACCGGGTGGAGCGGCGGCGGCGGCGGCAGCAGCACGCGCGGGCGGACGGATTCGGACGGGGCGGAGCAGCGACCGCCTGGGCGGCCGCTGCTCTGTCTGCCAGAGCGCGCCGTCTGCCTGCGCAGCTCGAGCGCGGTCAGGTGCGAGGACGCGTGGCGGCGCGGGGAAACGCGGCGGCGGTGGCGGCGGCGGCGGCGGCGGCAGCGGCACGCGCGGGCGGACGGATTCGGACGGGGCGGAGCAGCGACCGCCTGGGCGGCCGCTGCTCTGTCTGCCAGAGCGCGCCGTCTGTGCGCAGCTCGAGCGCGGTCAGGTGCACAGGGAAGCGTGGCGGCGCGGGGACGCGCGGCGGCGGTGGCGAGCAGGCGAGCGGCCCGCGCGCGGCGAGGCGGACAGGTGATCGGCAGGCGGGTGATGGGCCGGAGAGTGACCGCGCCCAGCGATCGGAGCGAGCCGATCGTCGCTCGGCCGCAGCTGACCTCGAAGGCGTGCGGAGCGCGACTGTCGGTGTCGGAGGGCGGCCGTCATGTGGCGAGGAGGGAGGACGACAAGTGCGCGTCGTACGGGTCGCTCTTCATCAAACAGTCGAGCGGACGGTAGGTCGGTCAAAGTGAGCCGGTGTGCGGTGAGGCCGGCGAGATTCGTTGCGAGATACGGTTCGCGCCCAAACACAAGTTTGGACGCTGCGGACGCGCCGCAAAATCAGGCAATTGGAAAGGGGGCTACTGGGGCGGCCAATTCACACCTCGCGGGACTACTTATGTTTTCGTAAACGTAGTTGTGGCCCCCCGCTACGTCGCACGAGTGCAACCGGGTAGCGGGGGGCTATAAAAAACGGACAACTCTCTACTGTGAGGTAGGTAAAAAGGAACAGGTCCCCGCCCTTGCGATCGGTGTGTAGGGTTCTTTGTCGCGCAAGACGACGCAAGCCGCGAGTCCGACTTTTTACTTTCGTTTAACAACCTCCGGAGTTGCGGAGAGTCCGCAGCACTCCGGAGACGGGAGAGACCCCGCGGCCTTCCGACTCGCGCCTCCGCCTCACTGGCACTATTGTAGCCCTGGCCGGTGCGCGTGCTCAGTTGAAGTTCCGGAGTGAAAATTCGAACGCGTTCCCTCACGGTGACCAAAAAATGTCCACCTCAGAGGCACCTCCGGAGGCAGGCCGCCGCACGCCGGCGACACAGCTCCAGCTGTCGAACTGACCCGCAGCTCCTCTCAGAGCGGGAACTGTGACGAAAGTTGACTGAGGCGATTGTCAGGAATCATCATACGGATCACATGGTGGCTCTCTCATGACGGGAGACCGCCCGACCACTCCTGGGTGGCACTGCCACCGGTGTCGCTCGACGTCCTGTCGACAGCGTGCCGACAGCGACACAGACCATGTGGGAGCGCGTCGAGTATCGACCTCTACTGCTTACCCAGCCTTCGAGTGTATCCTGGCTGTGGTCCCACACCCACTGGTGTCCATCTCAGAGACTGCAGGAGGTCATGAGGGTCGATGGGAGTGCCAACCCCACAATGCCTAAAAGTAAATGTTAAAACCCAGCAGCCCCAAGCGCAAGCCGTACGTTTTTAGGCTCTTAAAAAAGCGCGCGGGGCGGGGTCTCCACGCCACATTGGGCTTTTGGCACTGAAGAGCGACCACAAGAAATCGTTTGAGGGGTTAGACTCTACTTGTACTACAAACCGGTCACGGATGCGCCATCCACGGTCCCGTCCAGTTTGGTCCCTTGGCCGGCCCTGGGCCGCTCGGCACCGCGCGGGGGTGCCGTTAAGCGACCCTACGGATTTTTAGTGGTCGATTTTGGCCAAAAAGCCCAATGTGCCCGCGCGCGCGCGCCCGGCGGGGGACAAATATATCTGAAAATTCTCATAGTTTTAGAGAGTGTGGTGCGTGTGTGAAGTCCGCGGCTCAAACCCCTCGACAGCTCGACACTCCTAGCCCGAGCCGCGCGCTGCACTGAGCCGTGTGAGCGCTTCGGCGCGCACGCACCCAGGCCTTCACAGTCTCATCACATGTCATCGTCTCGCCACTGGGCTGGCGCCACTACACCAGTCACCACACTCCCCGCCGCCACTCCACTGCGCCGGGACGCGCACACCGAAGTGGCGCTGCGCGTGAGGGGCGACGCGTGGCAGCGGCTCATCATGCTCACATGGAGTGGTTCTCCCCGAGAGCGTTTTTCCGGTCCAGCAGCGGCATCATGGCGCCTCTCGTGTGTTGCTTGGTGCTCTCGGGGTCTCTGGCCTCCTGCGTGGCCAAGTTGATCTCTATGGCCTCCAAGTTGAGCCGGAAGCGAAGGTTCTCCTCCTGCGCATGGCGGGGCAAGCCCTGTGAGTCGCCCGCGCTCGCGCCGCGTCGGGAGCAGCGGCAAAGCGCGCGGCGGCGGCGCACCTCGTTGATGTGCCCTAACTGCTGCGTCGACTCGAGCGCCGCCGCCCCGCCAGCTCGCGGCTCGGCGAGAGGCGGCGCCTCCTCCGCGTGCATCCTCATCCTAAGAGCAGGCATGCACGGAGCTGAGGGTGGCATTCTAGAGCAGGCAGGCCGGGAGGCGCGGCGTCGCTCCAGAGGTTCGCGTGAGTACCTCGTGGGTTTCGGGGAGAGTGCCCGGGGCGCAAGCACGATGGAACGCCGCCAAAGACGCACCGTCTCGAGCGCAGGGTGGAGTGCTTGGCATGTGTGTCGGGTGTGTCCTCCTCTGCATCTACCAGTCCCTCTCCTCTGTCCACACGCGTGCTGCCGCGCCTCCTTGGAGCCGCTCACGCGACGCGACTGTCGGCTCGAGGCAAGGTCATCGGCCGGGCTCAAGGCCGCCGGGGGCGTCCCCCTCTCAGACACGCGCCCGCTCACGGCGCCGCTGCTTGCCGCCTCGGCGCGGGCCGCCGGTGGCAGAGCACTCGCCGTGCAAGTGTCCGCGATCCGCCGCAGCTCCGCCTGCAGCTTCTTCTCCTGCAGCCGCACCTGCGTGTTTTGAAAAGCGCGACTCGGTTGGGCAAGCCGCCCAAACCTCCGCCCGCCCCTCGTCGCCCCCGGGCCCGCCGCACCAGAGGCAGCCGGCTGAGCTGGTCCAGAGACGGCCTCGCCGAGGGCTCGCGCTGCAGCATCGAAGCAAGCACCTGCGCGAGGCATGCGCACGGCGTCGCGCGTGCGCCGAATGGGCTCCGAGCGGCGGGCCTCGCCGGACGGGCGCACCGCGCGGAGCTCAGGTGAGAACTGCTCCGGCGGCGGCGGGTAGGTGGTGGCCACAATCTTGAGCGCAAGCGAGGGGAGGGAGGTGGCCTGGAGGGGGGGGGGGGGGGCAGGATTGAGATCGGGCTGAGAGCCGTCCGCGGTGGCCGAGGTGAAGGGCGGCGCGAGGACCGCTGGGTCGAACCGGGGGGAGCGGCGGAGCGGCGGAGAGGGGGGGGTGCGAGGGGGGCTCGTGGCTGCCTCAAACGGCTTCCGGAGTGCCATCATCTCGTACAGCAGCACTCCGAGCGACCACACGTCCGCCTTGAGGCCGTAGGGCTCGCCGTTGATCACCTCGGGCGCGAGGTAGTACGGCGTGCCGATCGTCGTCGAGGCGAGTCCGTCGTTGCGCTCGAGAATCTTTGAGATGCCAAAGTCTCCGACCTTGATCAGGTTGCGAGACGTGAGAAACACGTTCGCTGCCTTGAGGTCGCGGTGAAGGATCGACAGGGCGTGCATCGCACGCAGCGCCGCAGTGATCTGCACGAGCCAGTCAAGCACCACGTCCTCGTCGAACAGCGTGCCCGTGGCCTGTTTGGTTTTGATCACCTCTGCGAGCGAGCCGCGGTCGGCAAACTCCATCAGGATGTTGAGCTGCGAGCCGGCGCGCCACGCGTCGTAGAGCGTGGTGATATTTGGGTGCGACAGGCGCGAGAGGACGTTCACCTCGCCCACAGCGGCCGCCGCGTTCTTCTCCGAGATCGGGATCTGCTTGAGCACGTACTTCTCGCCGCTCTCGTTGTGCTGCACCAGCAGCACACGACCCTGCGCGCCTCGCCTGCGCATGACAAAGCCCTGGATGTGACTGCAGCGGAGATGGTGAGGGCGGCAGGGTGGGCAGGCGGGGGCGTGCCGCACCCGACCTCGCGGAGTACGCGGAAGCGGGCGGGCGGCTCCGTCATGGCTTGAACGAGGCACCGCAAAAATAACGCACGGGCCCTCAGCGGAGCTGGGAAGAGGACCGCCGCAAGCGGCGTGGCGTGGAGCGGTTGCGCATCCCTCCGGGGGCCCCTCTGCGCCGGGGAGGCGTTGTTGGAGGCTAGGACGCAAGCGTCCGTCGCCCTTTTCAAACTCGGGGCCCACTCCGCTACGCTCCGACCCGAATTTGGAGGGCCTGAAAAGTTTAAGGTGTTGCTGCGCAAAAGGGTGGGGAGCGCAGGCGCGGCGCGCAGTGGAAGCACGCTAGCCATACATATTCAAGCAGAGAAGCTGACGGTCGGGGTCGTGACGGCTCGAGGGTGCGCACACTAGCGGCCGGACGCCTCACCCGCGGACGCCTCATTCGCACGCGCAC